CACACACATGCACACACACACACACACACACACACACAACCCACCATCTCCACGACGTCCACATCCGCCTCAATACGCAGCTGGTACAGATAGGTCTGCAGGTCTTTCTTCATCTGGATAGAGTTGTCCTCCGTCTCTGCACATCTCGTCAAGGTAAACAACTGACACATATTACAACTGACACGGGTCACACATATTACAACTGACACGGGTCACAACTGACACACATGACCTGACACACATGACCTGACACATGTGACAACTGACACACATGGCAACTGACACGCATGGCAACTGACATGTGTGGCAACTGACACACATGACAACTGACACACAAGACAACTTAGTTTAATTTTAGTAAGAGTTTTACAGCACTTGCAACACAATAAGGTCATATAAGTGCCGAAGATTTAAGGTGTTACAAGAGAGTAACAAACACAAAAAAGAAGGAGGAGAGATAAAAACAATAGATGTTTGATAGGAAAGAAGGAGCAAACCACACCAGAGCACCCGCCAACCACCCACACACATGACAACTGACACGCGTCACAACTGACACACACGACAACTGACACGGGTCACAACTGACACAGCGTGGCAACTGACACAATTTACAACAGATGTTATGAGTGCTGTAAAACTCTTACTGAAACTAAACAGACTGAAATGTAGTTTCTTCCCTCCAGTTACTTACTTACTCACTCTCTCCTTACACTGTCAAGTACATAAGGTGGAGAACAGTCGACGCCACGCTAGCCTGTACCTGGCCACGGCGATTGTCTCATCCTTTATTGTGCCTCTATATCTTCCTCCATTTACCCCCCCCTCCCATTTATTTCCCCCCCTCCCCACTCAGCCACAAAGGATACGGGCTACGGTGAAGATCCTGAGCTTGCAGTTCTTCCAGGCACGGTCTTGTCTCAGCAGGAAGGGCAGCAGCATGAGGAGACCTCCATCGTGCACGATCCACCACACGTCGATTGTCCCTCGCAGCTTGACCCGCTGCTCCGGGAACTGGTTGATGCCCTTGGGGACCAGCAGCGCCATCTGGGCGGCTCCGACGTTCTTCGCCGTGTCTGGGGGAGGGAGGAAGAAAAGTAAAAACTAAAGGTCACACAATCTAGTAAATGCATCAAAGTGAGGCGTACTAATAAAATGAGTTGCTTTCCGCAATCTGCAAATGGAGATATCTGCCGAAATACCGCCACAGGGGTCAAATTTGTAGATTTTCAATTGATGCCAATTTCTTCAAGTTTAACAGGTATTCTATAATTGCATACCATAAATTGTATGAATTCAACCTATATTTGACACATATAGGGGTTAAATCCTGTATGAAACATACAGAGACCATAACCCAAACCCAGTTTATTGTCAGAAAAGCTTCTGCAGTTCGCTAAGTAAAAACAATTCTGAACTCCCGGGAAATTCATTCCTGGGGGACACAAAGTTTACAGATCATGTTGTTGAATAGATCTTGTATCAATTAATACATCTTGTATCAAGTAATACATCTTGTGTCATGTAATACATATTGTGCCAAGTAAAATGTTTCGTATTAAGTCTGGCAAAAACTGGACAACTCCAGAAACCTGGACTGGTGGATTTATCCAGAAAATCGGTGTCTCTGTGCCCTTTAAATTATTAAGTACTGAGAAGGACTTTTCAACTAACAACAAATTCATGAGGCAAAATTATAAAGTACTGAGAAGGACTTTTCAACTAACAACAAATTCATGAGGCAAAAGACAAACTCACCCAGGAACACTTTGTAGCTGCGCTGGTCAGAGTTGTGCCTCCAACCGTACGGCCAGCCAATGACGACCGTGTTGTGCTTCAGACCACCTAGACCTGCGTTTTGGATGCTGAGAAGGGACAGAAGACAGATTTCAATAAACATGCTGCACCAGAAAAAAACAAGACCTCAATACCACAACATGCTGATCGAAAAAAACAAGACCTCAATACCACAACATGCTGATCGAAAAAAAACAACCTCAATACCACAACATGCTGATTGAAAAAACAAACCTCAATACCACAACATGCTGATTGAAAAAAACAAACCTCAATACCACAACATGCTGATTGAAAAAAACAAACCTCAATACCACAACATGCTGATTGAAAAAACAAAGACTCAATGCATGGAAACAAGAGAGACCACAATACCGCTATATGCCATGGATGGCTACCAGCCAGCCAAGTAATCATCTACAGCCAAATAACAAACAAAAAACCCCAGTTTTATTGTTTAAAAAAAAAAAGAAAATAGAAACCCCTGCTTAACATTTTAAGAAACAGCTTCGGAGGCAACACGGTCATTGGGGCTGGATGATAACTTTTTTTCTCTTCAAAATGAAAAAAAAATTTTCCTGCAAATATCATAGTCACAACTAACCGTTATGCAATAATATAATTAAATACATAGTCAATATGTATCACAGTTGAAAATTATAAATAACCCTGCAATGTCCAGCAGAAAGAAATCAGGATTGAGGGCCCGGACCCATACATTTTGTATTGTCTTTGACACCGTGTCCATGGGAAAGGTACTTTACACAAACGTTTCTCACTTCACCCAAGTGTCCATGGGCAGCCTACCTGGCTATAAACAGCTGTAGAGCTTGTTATGTTAGTTAGCTTTTGAGCGCATATAATCCCCAGCTTGCACTGTATGTTTCTCGGGAAGCCGAGAGTGTTTTTAAGTGTTCTAGAGTCTGCTGGGGTATTAATAGCTCTAAAGCTACATAAATGCCAATATTATTACTACTATTATTACTATTATCATTATTATTATTATTAATCATTACATTTTTTAATACATACATAATCGTTATATAAACAGAAAATATCGCATTCTATGAATACATTCTATGGATACACAAAGGGAATTCTTACAAAATGGGAAAGACGCCTCATAAATACTGTTTATTATTATCATTGTTATTAAGGGCTGCTTTAGAGTGGCAAAGGGGGACAGAGAAAAAAAGATGAGCCTCACAGCTGACAGAGTCCCTCGGTGACGTCGCTGGCGATACTGACATCGGAAAATCCCTTCACACCAAACTCTTTGACCAGGTTCATCAGAGTCTGCCGATAGAAGGAACAAAAGAGGACGGTTGTGAGATTGGGGCAACATTAAAAGAAAAGTTTCCACACTGATGTTGGTAACACTTTGCAGTCACACAGCCAGCAGTACAAAACACCCCATCTGGTTACCCAGCCAGGAGAGTGACTGCAACAAACTTTTTCGGCTTGTCGCAGAACAGCGTTGAGTGACTGAAACGGATCATTTTCACTGTCGCATTAGTGCGGCAAGCGACCGCAAAGTGTTAATGAGAATAAGAAAAGAGATAAGAATGAGAACAAAAATAAGAACTGATACGCATGCATATTAAGTGGCCACAACTCTCCATAGACAACATTTTGGGTTGCTGTTATTAATTTATCCCGCGGGCAGTATTGCATACAGACCTATCTCAAAGGCTGCCAAAAATGACTGACGTCTGTATGCAATACTGCCCGCGATCCCACTTTAGTTACCTAGGTAACTTCTCATGACACTGAACAAAATAGTTTTTGTTCAAACTATATAACTCTGTTGCTAATTGAGTCATCATTTTCCGCACTTTGGATCAACCAAATCCCCCAGAGGAAAAAACAAATCTGGGAGGACTCCATGCGCACATTTTTTAAATCATACGGTTTAAGTGGCCATGCCATATGTGTGATCTGCAGCTTAACATACAGCCGCTTGACCACCAAAAACAGTACATCTGTGTGCGAGAGTGTAAGTAAAAATGTACCTGCTGCCCTTACCCTAGTTACTTGTACAGGGGAGGGACAAAATAACAGTGGGAGCATATTATGTGGAGAAGATGAGTTTTTGTTGAGCAACGTTCTCTTGACTTATACCATAAGATCAAACACCTAGCCTTCTGAGGTAAGATGCAGAGTCCACTAAAGACATGAAGACGTTGTGAATCCACTGACCTGCTTGGAGGCTTGGGCGTCTGGGTACTTGTCTCTGAACTCTCCCTCCAGTACTGAGTTAACCAACACCAGACCTTTACCTGGGGGAGGGGGAGAGGATAGAAGGAATTTTACAGCGGCTGCCTGCAACACATATAGGTTATATAACGGCTGAAGATTAGAATGTGAGCTCTTGTGAATGAGTTGGAGAGACAGGAAGAGACACAGAGAGAGAGAGAGAGAGAGAGAGAGAGAGAGAGAGAGAGAGAGAGAGAGACAGAGACAGAGACAGAGAGAGAGAGAGAGAGAGAGAGAGAGAGAGAGAGAGAGAGAAAACAGACAGACAGACAAACAGACAGACAGACAGACACAAAAAGGAAGGAGGAGAGATAAGAGTGATAGATATTTGATTGAAAAGAAGGAGTAAACCACAGCAGAGCACACTCCAACCACCCACTCCTACCATCACACCACGGGCAAACACAATGCAGAAGGGATGACCACTAACCTGCCTTCAGCTGGCTGGCAAACAAGACAAGCTTGGGATACTTGGGCTGCAGGTTTTCGTCCATCTTCATCAACACCAGCAGCTGGGGCCTGTGGACACACGAGACAGCACACAAATAGAACACCAAAAAAAAAAAACACGTAAAGACACAAGTAAAAACACAAATACACACACCGATAGAACACTCAAGTAAACACGAAACTAAGTTTTAGTTGAGGTTTTACATCGCTCGCAACTGCATAAGGTCATATGAGCCCCAGAAGATTAGAGGTGTTACAAGAGAGTAACAAACATAAAAAAGAAGAAGGGGAGATAAGGACGATAGATGTTTGATAGGAAAGAAGCAGCAAACCACACCAGAGCACCCGCCAACCACCCACAGACAGAACACTCAAGTAAACACGAAAGTAAATACACGAAACAGAACGCTCAATAAACACACAAGACCACACATTAAGTACAACGCATAAGTAAACACACAAGACCACACATTAAGTACAACGCATAAGTAAACACACAAGACAGCACACAAGACAACAGACTCATTCAGTGCTGATCAAAAACGTATGCACTTCCACACTGTGCTGAGAATCTTTTGAGAGAACCAGCTGGGTTAAGGACAAACACACCCCGACAACAAATTTCCCATGTTTTCCAGCAAAGTGAGGCCCTGAAAGAAGCTTATGACCCGGCACTCAACCCCCCCCCCCCCCCCCCCCCATATCTGTTACCTTTTGACCTCCCACTCACCCCCTACCTGCGACCTTCTGACTTTCTACTCACCTCCAGTTCTTGGTGTGAGGCGGGCCAGCCTGCAGTCTGAGCAGGGAGTACCTGGCAGCTGACATGGCCAGACCGCGGATACCGTCACCCCACTCCTGCTCAGCTCTGGGGATAAGGAGGATAAGATAAGATAAGATGAGATGAGATAACGTGAGATAAGATGAGATAAGATGAGATGAGATAACGTGAGATAAGATGAGATAAGATTTTATTTATCTCCACAGATAGGAATTTGCTGCAGCATTGTATATATGTACTCACTCACTCTTTCACTCACTCACACATACACACACACCTCTCTCTCTCTCTCTCTCTCTCTCTCTCTCTCTCTCTCTCTCTCTATCTCTATCTATCTCTCTCTCTCTCTCTCTATCTATCTCTCCAATACACATAAACACAACTTGCAGATACAGAAGGCTATAGCGATGTGAACAAAGACTCACCCCTTGTATGTACTTGTAGATACAGAAGGCTATAGCGATGTGAATAAACACTCACCCCTTGTACTCAATGTACTTGTAGATACAGAAGGCTATGGCAATGGCACCCAGGGCATAGTACCAGCTAGAGATGAACATCATGACAATGCACAGAGCCAGGCCCAGGAGAGACAGTGTCCTGTGGGATAGCCAGGGGGGAAGGTTAGTCATAGAGGTGGGGAAACATGGGGCGGGGAGACATGGGGTGGGGAGAAATGGAGCGAAGAGACAAAAGAAAGAGAGACAAAAGATGGAAAGACACAAAAAGCAAGGGCAAGAGAAAAAGACAAAATCCTGTAGGATAGCCAGGGAAGGTTAACAGTGAGTCATGGGATGGGGAGATATGCACTGAACATACCAATGATAGAATTTTCTCCCCCCCCCCCCCCCTTTAAAGGGGTAGGGAAAATTTTAAAAATGTAAATTTTTTTTTCCCCCCCCCCCCCCCCCCCCCCTCAAAGAGCACTGAACATACCAGTGGTAGAATCTTCCCCTCTCTCTGCAATATACTGAACATACCAGTGGTAGAATCGGAAGCGAGGTCTCCAGTTGGGAGTCTGGAGCAGAGTCTGCAAGGCACAAGCCATGTTGACGAAGCCGTAACACATGAGGAAAAACCTGGGAACACACACATATGACACATGAGGAAAAACCTGGGAACACACACATATAGCATATGAGGAAAAACCTGGGAACACACACACACATAACGAAAAAACCTGGGAACACAAACAGACATTAATTGACCAGATGCTAATTAGTTATCTAAGATGTTTTTGATACCATCCAGAGTACACAAAGACATCACACAAAATTTGGTGAAAATCGAATGAGTGGTTGCTGAAAAATCTTGTAACAAAAATTGTCATGATTACATAAAGAGACTTGAATTCTTTTCTCATTTCATCTCTCAAATTTCATTAGCTATCTCATCTCTCTGATTTTACCTCCTTATCCACTCCTCCTACCCCCGTACTTTCACCAGCTCCTCTTATCACCAACTCACAT